CATAAGCACAGCCTCAAGAGATGGATGTTTTGTGGTTGCCCTGCTTTGCCTTTGGTACTTATTAAGTATAATTTACAACCATAGTGATTTATTATCAAGCTTTAAGTTCACTTCCTTAACACTTCCGTGCTTTTTTTCATTTTCAACACCAGGTTACTTCTCCACCAAATTGATTTATTCATGCCCTTAAACCGTCCTCATTAAAAATATGTGAATGCTGAAACATTATGCTGTATACCAGAAACTGATACAACCCTGTGGACTGACTATACTTCAATTTAAAAAAAAACACATGAATGAAGACCTCACAGCAGATCAAAGTCTTCAATCAGCTCCTTCTCCTAGCACACAGTAGGTATTCAAGGAATGCATGCTGCAGTGATTAAGCTGCTCTGGGGCAGACAGTGGGTGTGGCAGTCTGAACTGAAAATGATGTGATATTTACTGTTTCTTGCCAGGCTGAGACAAGGACCGTGTCATGCCATAGGCAGAAGAGGACTGGGAGACAGGCTAAGAGGGAGTCTAACATTTGTGTTGCACAAAATTCACTGATTCATGCAGTGGCGGGAGGTTAGAGGGGGAGTTATTGGGAAGAGGAGCAATCAAGTGTGGAGTTTAGAGGATGGGCAAAAGCAATGCAAGTCTGAGTCCCAAGTCTGGTCACCCAGTGGCAAAAAAGCACCCAAGCAGGACTGCTCGCTCGGCTTGGAACCTGCCAGCACGCTGTACATGCTGACCTCAGGTCAGAAGGTTGGCATGTGCCCTGTGTGACTGGCAAGGGCTCAGAGGTGTGTCCTTCAAAACGAGCAGAGTGCAAACTCTGCAACCACGGGCCGCACACAAGGAGAGCTCATAACCTCCCTGGTAAATTCCATACCACGACAATGAGGCCACGCAAAACAGAACACATTTGCCAAAATGTCTGGAGCTACGCGGCCTAAGTGAACAAGCAAGCTCCAAGCTGACAAAAACCAAACAAACAGAATCTCTGGCTAACAGAATCTGGCAAGCAGCAGGGATTCACTCAGAGGAGGAATACTTTGAGCAAAACTTGATTCCCACTGGACTTTAACGAGCCACGAAGCGAGATTTTCATTGTAAGGAAGACAATGTGACATGCTAACAAAAGGTAAGGATAGGAGGAATATTAGGCATTCATTATTTGTAAATGTCACCGTCTTCCCCTCAGCCTCCAAATGCCAACATGCCTCATTAACTCTGCTCGATAGAAGCATACAATGTCCCAATGAGGCAGCCAAACACAATCTAAGCAAAAATAGTAAACAACCACAACAATTGTACTTTTTGGGTATAAAAGTATAAAGTATTTTCACCTACAACACTGTCAAATTTAATTTCCCAACAATTTCATGAGATAGGAATAATTATTCCCAGTGTGTAGATAAGGAAACAAGATACATTCTAAGTTTAGAGAGAGTCCTTTAATATTAAGTGGCAGAGGTACGATCCCAGTTACTGTGACGAACTCCAACACTAGAATTCTTCACCTTAGGAAAAAAAAGCTCCCCTCACCCCAAAATTGTGTACATCTAAGTTAGACTGGGAAAGATGTTACAGATCACACCTTTCACATCGTGAACAAGTCAGCATGGTACCTGGGGCATGAGAGGGAGGATGCAGGCGTGGGATGTTATAGAAGCTCTACACAGTCTTGTACTGAAAGCACCATATACTGCCACAGATTATTATGGGTCTTGGGGTTGCTAAAAAGGGGGGGAAATCACCATTTAAAATTAGTATTTGGTTAAAAAAATAGTAGCGTCAGTGGCCACACTCTGGATTGTGTCTGTGTGGAAGAGGGTGACGCCACATTCAGCAGCTCCTGAAAACACACGCATGCATGCATGCATGCACACTCCCCGTAGCTTCCTCTAGGTAAAATCAAACTGACCCTCGCTCCATATGGCCTAATACCTCAGCCTCTCCTATGACTGTGTGTACAAAGCACACAAGGTGTTTCTACCACCTGCTTTTTGCCATAAATGACTACCCAATAAAATAAACACTAATGATTAACTTTTGCTCCCTGGAAGTCACTGAACAAGCAAAAGATATTCTCTGAACAGTATTTGCATATAGAACACGGCCTTTTCCCAAACTCTCCGAAGAAGCTTTAAATTGATTTGCCATCATGAGTTAGTCTTGGAGCTAAAATATATACATGACACTGAAGAGGTCAGTTCCTGTGTGAAATGTTTGCTAATCACATGGGTATTTTGGTTCATCACTTTCCCTGAAAATGTCTGTTTCTAACTAGCCTTTGCTTTTGAAATACCCAGAGTGTGAACAGTGATCAGACTCTCTTAATTCAGGGGACCTGCAATTGGCTTTCTTATAGGACCAGCTACCACGTACCCGGTTCTCTGCAAGGCGCTAGAGACACACAGGCTATTAGGGAAGAAAGGCAAGTAAATTAAGACCTCAAAGAGAAATGAGGTTTAACCAGATCAGATGGGAACCATCACAGCTGTGAGTAACTGAAGGGCTCAAATCCTAGATAAAAGGGAAGCCCAGAGAGGTGAGCCTGTTTCCCCAGAGGTCTTTGGATTCCAGTGGCAGCAGCTATAATGGTGAGAAGTAAAAAGGACCCTGAACAGACCCATGGGCTAAGGAAACAAAAGCCGGGAGCTCAGGACCCTCCAAGGAAGAAGAGTCACGGAAAACACCTAGGGTGCTGGCTGGCACCTGAAGAACTATACCCAACTAGCCCTCACAGGGACTGAGGCTCAGCTTCAAATCATCTCAACTCCTGACTGGAATAAGCAAGTATGAAATCGAAGTTTCTAGAAGCAAAGGTAAATCCTCTCTAAGATCCCACTGCCTTGACCTCAAATAATCTCTACACCCAGTAACTTCACTAATAAACGGATAAATAAATCTAACTATCTCCTACCCCTACCCCCAAAAAAGAAATTAAAAAGAAAAGAAAAGAATTAAGAAACACAGTAAATACAATAAGCTGTCAGTATATGTTAAATCAAAACAGTAGGTACATAGGTATCTGTTATGCCATTTTCTATACCTTCCTGAATTTTTGTAGCATTCCATCATTAAATGTTTAAAAAAGAAGAAAAAGGTGTGGCCAGAGAGAGATCAGCAAGAGTGAAATTATTTTAGCCTTCAGAAGTCATGTTCAAGAGTTTGTACTTTATTCTTAAGACAACAAGAAGCCATTAAAGAATTTTAAACAGAGGAGTGACAGCATTAAACGTGTCCTCTACAAAGATCATTCTAGCTCCATTAGAGCAGAAAGAGTGAACGCAGGGTGTCCAACTGGGAGGCTGCGCAGTAACACAGATGAGAGGCATCAGTGGTGCTGGAAATGAAGGAAAGTTGTACAGATTTGAATGATGAAAGTCTGAGTTTGCAAGGGAGGTAGAGTTTAGATCTCAAAACTATTGAATTTTACCCCAGTCAAATCAGGAAGCAAATGAGGCCACCTGACAAAGAGAAACCTACAAGGAGCACAATTTATAGAACAAAGACCACATCCAAGACAGAGCCTGGGACTCGTGAAAACAAGAAAAATGTGAATTTTTCTGTAAATCCTTAGAAGAAACACAAGCAATTATAAAACTGAAAGCTAATAAGCACTCAGCTCGACAACAGATGGTCAGATAGATACATTCACAACCTGCCAGAATTCTGAAGCCTTGTGCACCCCCTTCCAAACATGCAGATGCTTTGATCTGAGGGGGGGGGAATTCTATTTCTGATTCTGACAGCAAACCCCAAATCACATCTTGCCAGGAGAGAATGGCGTCTCCCAACCACAAACCCACCGAGAATTTCACAACCTTAATCTCCTTTTGGAGAAATATGGGTTGTCTTTGACCACTACTTCCACCAGCCCTGCCAGAAAGTACAAGGAAAGTGAGGGGGAAATGACAGTTTCTGAAGACCTCAGCTTTTTCATCTGCCCCCAAGAAAGTAATCTCTGTCTCTGGATTATTCATGAGCAACCCACCTGTTACTCTGCGAAGGAAAATCAAGCACATCAAACAAACGTATCCCCACGTTCTGAAAAATGGCCTGAGGCACAGGCTCTGACAGTTTCTTCAATTACTCTGAGTTGTTTCTCTCTCCACCGAGAAGAGATCGAATAATTTTCTTCATCATTACCTTTTGTGCCTTTACAAAAGGTTAAGGTTTAAAATTAAGCATAGCAAGTTCCCAGTCTAGCTAGTTTTGGTACAAATATACATCCTTGGATCTGACTTATGACTGTCTAGTTTGCTAGAGATGAGATTTCAATCTGTTCACGGAGCAAGAAATATTCAGACACGCTGTTTTTAAAGGAGGTAACTTCCACCCATATACCCATGCAGAGTCTCAATTTTTGTATATGCTGCTGGGGAAGCTTGGTTTCAGAGGCTGCATTCAACATTCCTCCCATATCAGAATATGTAAAACTTAGACAAACATGGTTGTCTTAGTTCCCAAAGTTTATGATGCACTGAACTGACATACTGTGCAGTTCAGGAAATAATCATGAGATGACTCAACTTCCTGACTCAACATTCATCCAGAAAACATCCTTTCTCATTTTCTTCAAACAAAGCTCCTCAACCAAAATTCAACCAATCAAAACTCGGGCAATTAGCTGCATGAAAAATACCATCTACCAGATCTCGGTAGTTATTAATAAACATTAATGAATTTTGCAGTTATTTATATATCTCATATATCTCACTTTGATCACATTTATGAGACTGAATAAAATTTCTAACGTTATATGCAGATTCCTTCCAATCATTACCACCATCACAATCCAGCAGCATATAAAATGCCCAGAGACATTTCTACACAATACGTTCAGGTTGAAATAAGAGACATGTACTTGATATTTCTTCGGGGAAATTTCAAGATTAATTTCAATGGTACATAAACACCCTTCGGAAACAGGACATTCTTGCCAAAGGCTGCCCAGGGGATAGATACAACCTTTTCACCATACATACTCTGAGACTGATACTCACTGGGTTAATAGTTTCTTCAACAGAATGGTGAACGGTCCACCAGTCTGAAGTCCACTCCCAGGCGTTCCCTACTATATTGTACAAGCCATAACCATTGGGAGGAAAGGCATCAACCTAAAAATAAAAAAAAAAAGGTGGGGGGAGAAATGCTGTCAAACTACTCACCTTGTCTACAAAACCTCTTTGGTGCAGAAATGCACAAAGAGCTGTTACTTCAAATTATGAATATTAATTTTCACTCCAAGGGTGAAAATGCAATTCAGCCAATGTGAAAACAAAGAAAGAGATATTTTTCAGCTTTGAGGTCTCAAGCAGAGCTTAGAAACCTAAGAAGAGTTGGTATTTCATGGCAGGAGGATCAGTGAAATTATTCCTAAGAGAGAGACTAATACTGATCTTAAGTCCAATCTGTATCTTAATGGGGAGCGAGGGGTAAATGATCTTCAGACCTTCAAAAGCATAAGAGAAACATATTAGACCCGGTAGAAGTCTCGGCATCAGCTGAGCTATGCTGGCCCACGGCATCTTTTAGCACTGAGAGACCCCAAGCCAATTCTGTCCTCTCCACCAGCCCCTCCAATCACCATCTTATCTTTAAGCCTCAGTCATTATCATCGAAACACTAAAGGGACTTGTTTTTATAAAGAAAACGAGAATTGACTACCAAGCGGATTTGTAACACACAGAGGGTTTGCAGTCTCTGAGACCTGGAAGCATGAGGCAAGCCGCACAGGCTCTTCAGCAGGCAATTATATCACACTTCAAAGGCAGACCAGACAGTTACAGACACATACGATGTTATCACAGACACGGTACCGGGCTGCGAGGCTTGTGTAAGAAGCAGGGAGAGGAGGGGGACCAGACAGACAAACTGACTAAACAGTAAATGTGCACAAAACAGTTTTGCTATTTTAGGGACTCAGAATTTTTTCTCAACACTTTTTAATGGAAGTTCTCAAACATGAAGAAATTTTTTTAATTTTTTAAATGAAAAAAAATTAAGTTACCTTTGGGGATCTTTTTAAAAGATCTTTTTGTAAATTCATGGTTTTTCCCAATTAATAAGGTAGGACTAAAAGGAACAAAGCTCATTTCTAGATGGCTTCAGAAGGTTTTATGTGTATTTATCTACACATAAATATGGAAGTAACTGATACTCGGGAGACACAGAGCACTTTAATCAAAGTTAAGAGCTTCTCTGAAAAAAACGTAATCCCGGTGAGGTGGAAAGCTGAAAATGCTTACCACTCTGCTCCATACTCAGCATTCATGAAGGAAACAGTGGTACTTAGTCATTGCTTCATTCAGTAATTCCACGCATGTCGACTGAAGGGTTTGATGACACAAGACGTGAAAGAGCTTTAATGAGGGAGAAAGGAAGACGAAACCAAAAATAAAAAATCCAGCCCTGAACAGCAGAGAGGGAAGAGTAGGGTAAGAAAGTGAAAGAACAGGAGCAGAACCCCCCCAGAGGGCTGGGGCTGAAGGTGAACCCTCCTCTACAAAGAGAGAGGTGTCTTGTTGGAACCAGGGTCAGAGAGACAGCACAGGAGGCGAGAGCAGAGGCATCAACTGTTCCGGAGAAGACTGGAAAGAGCAAGATGGAGTAACAGCTGGAAGGAGAAGGAAGGAAAAGAAGAAATCTACTTCAGGGATAGAAGTGAAGGAGCAAGGGGTGCGAGAGCAATTAAAACACAGAACGAACACTCTGGAAGATGGAGTCACTCCTCAGGCTTACAGAGCGCACACGCGGAGGGGGCTCTCAAGTCCGTCAGCCTGAGGTCCTTTTTATGTGCCAACACTTGGCAATTGTTGGGAAAGCGAGTTAACCTATCTGGTGTTGTTAAACCAGCAGATGAGGAAATAACAGCGTCTATTCAAAGGTTTGAGGGGCTTTTCCCCTTTAAATAACTCAATGTTTAAGTGATGGAAAATCTGGAGGTCACCACCCCTAAAACTGCCACGTTAGAGTGTAAAAATTTCAACTGCTCACTGTTAAATTAAGCACACTGATTAACGCTTCCTTCCAGAAAGCTCAAAAGAAAACAAATGGACACGAGAAAAACTTCCAAAGTGCTGATTTTCAGGAGAATAAATTGATGTGCATGAAAAACAAAACACACTAGTAACTGTGTAAAGAGGCCTTGCAACACACAAATCCAATTCTTCAGCTTCTCCAGGGTCAGAAAAATTTAATGAGTTTAAAACCAGACTGAAAATAATAAAATACATAAAATAGCAGGTGAGGGAACTATTTCACTGTCCATCCCGTTATGAAATTCCTACTCTCAACTGACCAGGGCCTGGGGACACAATAAGGCAGCTAAAGTGGACTTGAGATAATTCTCTGGGTAAACAGTCCTGACTTAAAGGTACATAGATCTTGTGAAGTCCGATTCCAAAGACACGTGGAAGTGGTCTCTCTATAACTTGCTGCTTTTTTTCTCCGCAGGTCCTGTTTCTCCTATTGGTTATTTGAGGGCTCTTGGTAACTGTCCTAATTTTGTCTTAGGAACCTCCCACGGCAACTTCGTCAGGTAAGTTCTCAGTTGAAAACATTCCAAGCAGACATCTGCTGAATGCCCAGCTAAATGTTCCAACTCTAAACATCTGTAAAGCATCCTTATTTCATAGGGAACTTTGCTTTTCCTGAAAAAGGTACACCGACTTGAGAGTAAATGACTATTTTCCCTGGAGGCTCATGTGCTTAAATAGTGATATGAAACTCCATAGCCATAAGCACTGTAAAATATTCATAACTAGCCAGTACAGCTTCTCATGGCCTTTTGTTAAAATTGGCAGGCGCTTACATAATTTGTGTGGTCCATCAGAAGCCCATGCTGCAGGCTTCAAGGCTGACTGCAACGGCCCCAATTCACACAGCCTCACATCTGTGAGGGGGATTCAGGCTGCCAAGGCCCTTCTCAAGCCATGTGATGGCTGCTGTCCCACTGTTCACATCAACCAACAGCCTTTTTGGGGTCTCAGGATCATCCCCATCAGGCCTCCTAACTGATATTCTGTTCATCCTGCAGTTCTGCTGACCAAAAGTGGCCCACAAGATACTGGCTGGGCTTCTCACCCATGTAAAGGCTGAGAAAAGGTTGAGATCATTTAGTCCCCAAAGTCTCCAATCACTCATTTTATTGAATAAAACTAGATGCCCACGAAAGCACAAGCTATCCTGAAGGAAATGTCAGAAGAACCAACTTCTAGATGGTCTGATGAGTCTCTGCCTTCGTTGAATAATACTTCCAGTTCCTGTTGGTTTGTGTTGGTTCCTTTATCATATACCTAATTCATATAGAAGCACACACATAAGCACTTGTATACATTTCAAGGGTAACATATTCTTGTGCAACTTTTTTTTTACAAAGATACTGCCAAACACAAAACTATAATGCTTTAACTACATAGCTCAAAGTATGTTTAAATTTCTGATAGGTCAAGTATCTCCTCACTCTTCCTCTTTTCCAAAAATGTCTTGGTCTTGCTTGTTTATTGTTTATTTCACTTGAAATTCTGGAATCATTTGGTCATGTTCCAAATAAGGTATCTGTGTTATATTTATAAAT